ACCTTCAAAACATTTCTCATATAGGCTCCTTTTTCTCTGACACTGCAACTAGCATCTTATAGACCCTTATCACTTAAAACCTGATCAATTGCAATGCCTTCTGATTGGTCTTCCTACCTCAAGTCTCTCCTCACTCTAATCCCCAGTGACTTCCTATTGCCTCTAAAATCAAATATAAAATCTGTTTTACTTTCAAAGCCCTCTATAACCCCCATAACCTGACCCCTTTGTACACCTTATTCTCCTTCACATACTTGCAATTCAGTGTCCCTGACCTTCTTGCAGTTCCTCACTCATGACACTTCATCTCCTGACTCTAAGAATTTAACTGGCTGTCCCCCATTCCTGGCATTTTCTCCCGCCTCATCAGTTGTTTTCAGCTGTGTCCAACTCTTCAGTGACCCCATTTGAGGTTTTTGTGACAAAGATACTGGAGTGGTTTGCCATTTCCTTCTCCAGCTCATTTATAGATGAAGAAATTGAGGCAAGTAGGATTAAGTGATTTGCCCAGGGTCACATAGCTAGCATGTGTCTGAGGCCAGATTCGAACTCAGAATGATGAGTCTTCCTTATGGTAGGCACAGCCCTCTTATCCACTGTGCCACCTAGCTATCCTCCTCGTCGTCTCTGCTTTCTGGCTTCCCTGGCCTCCATCAAGTCTCAGCTGAAGTCTCACTTTCTGCAAAAAAGCTTTTCTAAGGATTTCTTAATTTTAGTGCTTTCCCTCTGATATTACCCTTAACTTATCTTTTACAGTTGTTGACATGTCTTTCCCATTAGATCACCATTTTGTTTTGTTTTGTTTTGCCTTTCTTTGTATTTACATGCCTAGCATGCTGTCTGGTACGTAGTAGGTGGATAATAAATGCAACTAACTGATTGACACATTTTTAAAAAAAGTTTAACCAAAAAATAATTACCACCTAATGAGAAGGGCAGATATTTTCTTTTTAGTAAAGTATAAAAGAAAGAACAAAACATACCTTTCAAATCTGACTTCACAGTGACTAAGAAGGAAACTCAGAAGTTAATGTTATTTTTTCTAATATAGTCCTAGCCTTAAAGCATGTCAACAAGCTAACCTGATGAATGTCAATAGATCTGGATCATTTGAGAATTGGAAACTGGCCATTTTACAATGGCTGTATAGCCAGGGTGTATATTCCAAGAGTCCTTTCCAGAGGCATATCTTGCCATTTTTGCACTGAAAACAACAGCACAGAAACAACACTTCCCTCCCCAGGTCTGCATGTGCCGTATCCTTTTTATCACTAGGACTTTCCAGCCTGCCTACTTCATCTGGGCTTTTGTCTGTGAGATTAGGGTGTGGGCAAACAAATGGCTTCTGGACTGGGAAACTGGACTTCATTCCGAGCTGGCTGCTTTACTCTCATAAAATTGCCAAACTCAATATAAATCATACTAGACAAATAACATGAAAAATACCAGCAAGAGGAAATATTTCCAGGACAGCATCTATCAGTCTTGACTGTCAGGAAGATGGTAAGGTCCCTTTTCTTAGACATCATTGATACCAATTAGCATCCAAGCCCTCTGGATGATGGTCACTGTCTCCTAGAGGTAGGTGGCTTGACAAGGACCCTCTCTAGATTCTTCTTCTGTTTTAACCCTAGCCTTCTAACAGGCTTGGAAAGTTGGGACTATTTGATCCATCACTGAACAGAAAATGAAATGGATACTGCAAGGTCAATTAATTAATTAGATACAGAGAAATAAATCATTGGAGTTTTTTTTTTAACAACATGATTTTGCAACAGCATCTTTGTTTATAAGAATTCTCCACCTGTGTTTCAAAAACAAACAAAAAGTAAAATACAAGATGGATCTGTGGTTTTGGTAGTATAGAACTCCCAGTGTGCAAAGTCCCTCCACTGAGGGACAATTAGAACCCATTATGACTTAATATGCATCTTAAGGAGATCCTTAAGGGACAAAAAGCTCTAGTGATTAGCCCAGGGTCATACAACTAGCATCAGGGGCAAGATGTGAACCCAGATATTATTAACTAAGCTGCGTACACTATCCATTGAACCACCTTTCCATTTTTATTTTGCCTAAATATCCTATATTTAGGTATGCACTGTGGCATAGTGGAGATGCCTTGTGAATCAGGAAGACCTGGTTTCAAGTCCTGCCTCTTACACATACAGACTGAGTGATCCTGGGCAAATCATTTATTTAACCTCTCAGTGTACCCAGACAACTCTGTAAATTACAGTGCCTGTGCTGTCTTGCACTGGTAGAGGGAGCTCCTTCACCTCACCTCATTGGTATAGCAATAGCAATCAGTGAAATCACAGGTCTTTTCTCCCTCCTCGCCCCTCTGTAAAAAAAAAAAAATCCTGAACAAAATCTTTCTATATCCTACTAGTGTGCAAAAAAAAAAAATCACTGAAATTTTTCTTGTTCTTATTTAATTGGGTATCTTTATTTTTGGAATACAGATATATAAGAAACGGTTTATTAAATAAAAATAGACTAATGAATTGTGCCAGTTAAAATGTATTTGAACAATGGATTTTTATTTCTTTTCATCTTAAACTATCTCTTCCAATTTTAATAATAAGTTTATTTGTATATTCTAACCAGCGGACATTTATAACAGCTGAGCAATAACCTCTTTAAAAAAAAAAAGAGCCAGATCCTGCATGTGGGTAAGCTACTTCCTATGAATACCAGGACATTAAGCTCTCTGGAAAGGGTATTATTCCATTCAAGCTTCAGTATGGTGGGGCAGAGAGACATTTAATAGTCCAAAGGGTAATTTATTGAGCTGTACCCTAGTGGCCTGAAAGAGGCAATGCTGTTTCCAAAGATACTTCCTGGAGCAATTTGGACATTGAAAAAATCAGGTACAATAACTGTGGAAAAATACTGCTATTCCTAGCCTTTCTTCAGACAGAATGTTCACATCTGCTCATTAATTCAGATGTTTCAAATCCAAATAAAATTATTAATCATCTACCCAGCTATATGAAAGCATGTGAAAAATATCACTCCTAAGGAGAGGATCAACGAATGCATACTTGGATTGAGATTTTGACAGAGGGAATTAAAGTGCTACTGGAGATAATCATCATTTAGAAATCAGAGGCACCTGCTCAAAATATTTGAACTAAATATTCCAACCTTTCTGAAGCCCTCAAATACATTAAATATTTATTAATATACACAGTGTAGGGAAATGAGTGGATTAAAAAATATTATGCTTCTCTGCCTTCATTATCATATTCTTCTGCATGTAGCTATAGGTCCTCCCTCTTTCCCCACACATACACAATGTATTTGTTCTTTGAACTTTTCATTAACATCTACTGTAACCCTGGCTTAAGTTTTTGTACCTCTTAATTGCTTGTCATGGAAAAGCTAACAATTTTACTTAGTACCCCAGGATCCAAGGAGAGCCTAATTTCTCCCTACACAACTTGAAAGAAACCCTTCTTATAGTAATCAATCAATCAGTAAGCCTTTATTAAGTGTTTAGTATATGCCAGACACAGTAAGTGCTAAGGGAAAACATGGCTCTGGCTTTGGGATCTATGGGGATTCCACAAACCATAGTTGTCTTTTCTGAATGAAGGCAATGGTTTGGTTTTGTTTTTCACAATACCACCTGTAAATAAATAACCAGGTTATAACTTAGCTTCAAACTTGTTGATTAGTTAAGTGACACATTTTGATATGGGAACAATTCTAAAATAACAGTTCCAAGTATTTTTATGCTCTCCCCACTACACACACATAAAAACACCAGGGGGAGAGTTCAATCTCTTTAAACAATACAATCCCATAGCTGCTTCTAGAGATAGATAAAATAGGTTCCAATTCCAATCAAGCCAGGAAAGAGCTCAAAGTCACTTGGATTTTAACCAATGGCCATTTAACTGCTGGTTAAGGGTGAAATAAGGACACCAAATTAAGCATTAGTGAATCTATCCCGTAGATCCTCAGAGTACTTATGTAGCTTATAGGACTAAAAGTTGGAAGTGACCTCACACATAGTTTTTGTAGGTAAGTATAAGGTTTGTAAGAGATTCACATCGGATCATAGTGTTAGAAAAGATCCCAGAGTTCATCTAGCCCCCTTATTTTACAAATGAGGAAATTGAGTCTCCAAAGGTTAAGTGACTTATCCTAGGTCACAAAGTAGTTACCACCTGGGGTAAAATTTGAATTGAGGGCCTCTGACTGGAACTAGCGCTCTTTCCATCAAGTTGCCTCCGTTAATCACCTAGTCCAACAGCCTCATTTGATAAAAGTGGGCACCAGGGCTCTGAGAAATGAAGAGACTTGCTCAAGATTACACAGCTAGTGTAAGAGCAAGAATTCTACTCTGGGACTTTTGATTCCAGGTTACCTGGTAATGACCTGGTGGGCCATTCACCAAGACAGGTCAGGGACCCTTGTGCCTAGAGCATTGTATCAGGGCCAAGGGGAGATAGACAGTTTAGAAAATCACCCTCATAGTGGCTTGGTTAGAGTCCTGCACGGGGAGCCAAATAACATTGTGAATTCTAGTTAAGCGTGCTGCGTATGCATTGCTCCAAACCTTTCCTGTAGGTTGGAAAATTCGAAGGCCACCTCCATCCCATTAAATTGAAAGCCCCGAGGGCCCGAGAAACAGAGAGGAGGGACTGGGCAGGGCAGCCAGGTGGGCAGGAAAAGTCTTTGTGCCTAGCTTGCGTGGGGAGGTGTGGTTTCTCTCCCTCCTCCTTCTGTTCTCCGACAAGCGAGGGAGTGACTCATATGGTCTTTCTTTAAGGAGAGGAGATTTCCAGTGTAAAATGATTGGACAATGAGATGGAAACCAATCATGAAACTTTTTTTCTTTCTTTCCTTTGGCAAATGTTGATTTCCTGCCTGAATCAGCAGCACCAGCCACCCAACCTCTGCTGGCAGGTGGATGACCGAGAGTAACCTCTGAGTAGCTCCCGTCAGCGGCAACCACCCTCCCGCCTCCTTAGCACAAAAGACAGCCGCAACGCAGAGCAAGCAGCTCAGCTCAGCCTGAAGCTCTGTAACCAGTTTTGGGGAGCAAGCAATAGCCTTGGTTTGTGACCCCAGCCCCCTCCGTCCTCGCCAAAATCCGGGGAGGAAGCAGACCCGCGGAACCAGAACTACAGTCAGGTTGGTGGGTCTTATAACAACCCCCTTCAGAAAGGGCGGGGGATAAGAGAGCTAGTAATCTAATGACTGCAGCTTGGTCACAGCACACCCCTGGCGCCTCTGCGTTAGCCCATGCCCCCCACTCCTTCCTATTCCCTGTTTAGATACACCAGAAATCTCTTGTACCAGAAACCTCAGCTGCCCCAAGGAAAGGCGAGCTTCTTCTTTGCTCTTTTCCCTTGTCTCCAGCTCCCACGCAAGAGACTGTCAGGAAGCCTCTAGCCTTAGCAGCAAACCAATATTCTCCAGCTTCTCCCATCATTGGAAAGCCTCCTCCCTTCTCATCACCTTAGACAACGCTGATGTTTCCTGAGCCCAGCCTCATCTTCTAAGGCTGCTTCTTCCACTCTGCTCATTTCCAGGTCCACCCCCAGCCCGCAGCAAACCTACCCTTGGGAATGGGCAGTAAACTCAGGTCAGTTTCCCGCAATCCTTCTAGCTCCTCAGTTCCCTCCCTCCGCACTCCGCGCCACCTCCAATCCCCACCCCACCCCAGCCTCCCAAAAGACAGAAGGATGGAAAGAATCAAAGGAGACATATAAAGCCTCCAGAGTTGAGGCATATGAGGGAAATAAGAGACACTACATTTCACACTTTTTTGTGGGCTGAGGTGAGAAAATGTTATGGAGAGTTGGGTATTTCCCCTAAAAGTTCATAGCGTTAACACACCCTTCCCTGAACCGGAATGATTTGCACATCTCCCAGTCTCAAATGCTTTCGCCATTTCACGTGGCAAATCAATCCCTGGCAGAAACGCAGTCCCTGTATCTATCCTTCTCTCACAATTAGGGCTGTTTTGTCCTCGAGATAATCTCGGGTGGTGGTAAAGTGTCCTTTTTCTCAGTCCCCGACCTATTTCAGGTGGTTACCTGCTCACGTTCTTTATAAGAGGGGGGACTAGATTAGCCCCAATTAATCTGAAGGACGCTGTCCCCGGGACGTAGTCCTCCCCATCAGGATCCCCCGAATCCTCCCCACTTACCGCATCCGTCGCGTATCTCTTCAGCCACCGGCTTCAGGCTGCTACTACCACGTTCTGACCACCTCCCCCTGTGCCCGCTTTGACTTCATTCATCCCCTTTCACCAAGACTCCGCCCATATTTTCGAGTGACTGGCGCGGCCTCCAATCGGACAAGGGCACAGGTCTATGGCCTTACTGACAGTGGCCAATTGCAGCGCTGGTTCAGGATCCTCCGTTTCTCTTCACCCCCCCCACCCCCAGCTGGCCCCAGTTTGAGAACCTGAAATTGACAGTTGGGAAGGGCTTTGTAGAAGGTAGGTTGGAGGATATTGATGAAGGACAGTCTGTGGGAGAGAGTGGGTCATCGAGATGCGTGGAATAAGGGTGGGGAAAAAAAAAGGAAAACATTAATTAATTCTTCCGATAGTCAGAACCCGCTGGGTGTAGACCGAAGTAAGAGGGGGTGGGGGGAGAAGGTTACGAGAAGAAAGGGAAGATTCTTTCTGGATGTTGAAATAGCTTCATAAAATTGGGCTGGAAGAGACCTAAAAGATCATTCTAGATCAACCTTCTCATTTTACTGATGAGGAAATGAGGGCTTGCGCAGTCATCATCCAGTAAGTGGATTGGCAGAAGTAGGATCTTTACTAGAAGAATATTTGTTTTTAGGGGGGAAAAATGGAGTGGGGGGGGAGAAAAACTGGGTGTGGAGGAAGTGAAATTAAACAACTATTTCCTGCCCTAACCAGAAAATAACTGCCACGGGGTATCAACCATAGTGAGGGGTGAATTCTTTCAGGTTTTTCACTCGATTATTAAAGGGGAAGGGAGGGTCACAAAAGAGAGAGTACAAAAGGTGTTATCAGAATAACAGGGAAATGGGGCAAACTGGAAGGAATGGCAATCGAAGGGAAAGGAAGGTGAATTTGAGGACTACGCCCTGGTGCCAAGGTCCCTAGAGCTCTGCTAACAGGTTCTCCCAGTGGGATTGAACGGTTTTGTTTTAATTGCAGGAACCCTTGCAAATTAAAACCCCACCACATGTATATCAAGATCTCTCACTCTTTTCATGAATTTTTTTTTAAACCAACAAACACGAAAATAATTTTAGAAAATTTCAACTCAGTCTGGCATTTTATGACCCTCCATGATCTGCCTCCAGTCTACCTTTCCAGCCTTACTTTATACTACTCTCTCTCCCACATTCTAGATTCTAATCAAATTTCAGTGTTAGTTGCTCGCTGATGTGGTCATTCCCTATTCCCCCACTCCCACCCCCACCCTGCCCCCTTCTATAGGCTGTTCTCTATTCTTGGAAGCCTGTTAGCCTTTCAAAAATCCATCTCTTCCTTCAAGGTCCTGCTCAGAAAACACTTTCTCTTTGCAGCTCCCACCCATTCTTGAAAGTGATGTTCCTGTCTTCAAAGTTTTCCTGGAACAGCTTGTCTAGGTTTCACCTTTACCTTGTCACATTATATCGTACTTAATTATGTCCTATTTCTCCCATTAGATTTTTGATTCCTTAAGGGTCAGGGACTGTGTTGTTTTCATCTCTGTGTAGTTGGCACTTAGCACAATGCCTTGTACATAATAGTTTAACATTATCTATGTTTTACTCAGAAAAGGACAGAGCCTAGTAAGAAGTACCAATGGCCTAACCAAGGAGGCGGAGCAACTGACTTCAGTGCAATTTACAACAGACATTTATAAAGCACCCACTACATACAAGACACCATACTGGGTAATGAAGATATAAAGACAAAAATGAAACTACTCATGCCCTCCAGTAACTTACATTCACACCTTGGCAGAAGGGATGGATCATGTCCACAAGTAAATATGAAGTAGACACAAAGTAATTTCAAGAAGGAAAGAATATTAATAACTAGAGGAGGAGCAAAAAAAGACTTATGACCTCTGATTTGAAGGAAGCAAGGAAATCTAAGAGATATAAGAGAAGAGACAGTATATTCAAGATATGGGGAACTATTTCACCTAAGATACAGAGGTGAGAAGTGGAAAGTCATTTCTGGGGATTATCGAGCAGTCTGGCCAAAGCCAGTAGGAGTGGGCAGACATATTAGAAGGCCAAAATAGCTTTCTTTTGGTAGGAGCCCAGTTTTCTTCTTCAACCTAACACTTATCCTGATGCCTGCTTCAGTCATAGAATGCATGTATAATTGTATATGAGTTTCTTCATATGATTTCATTTGGCATCTTCAAGTGTGGTTTTGACCAAATCCCTTTTTAGGCTACAAGAAGACATTTCTAGTGGTAACATGTTTCTATCAAAAGCAGTCATTAATCACTGAAATCCAGTAAAACAGTTCAGGAAAAGAAATGAGAAAATGATAAGAAAAGAGTATAGTTATTGATGGGGAAGAGAAGAGAGTATGTATTCTGGGGGTAGGGCTCCAGGGAAAAGAAAGTGAGATCAAGGAAAACAAATCATGGAGAATGGGAACTCTAAGTACTGTGTGATAAATGAAAAGTCTGAGAAACATAATTTCTGGGTAATTAACAATGATTTTTATTAATTATGGCTAGCAAATAATAAAAAGATGGTCATTTGACTTTCTCTCATAAACCAAAGACAAATCATGGAGGCTGTTCACCCTCATATCTTTGGAAGAGGGGTGTTCCTGACAGGCATAAATCAACTCTGATTGGTTAACAATTAATTAAAAAATGAATATTATAATGAAAGGTGGTCTTATTCTAATTAGGGATTAGGGGATATGACCTTGATTTATGTCACTCTTACTCTCAAGTTAGACCATTCCACCTCAGGCAAACTATATAAAAGGATCTATCCTCCAACCAGTCAACAAACAATGAAAGATGGTGGAGTAAGTATTCCACCTAGATTAAGGTGGGGCAAATTAGGGGGCAAGGTCAGAAATGTCCTTGAGAGGGTGGGCTTTGAGTGAGGACATAGAAGGGAAAAACTTTAATCCTAATTTAATAATTGGTTGTTAATGTAAGAGATAAGCAGTCATTTCTCTCAACTGGGATCCATCTAAGTAAGTTTCCCAAAAGTAATTGGTTTCCTCAAACAAGGAAATGGTTCAGACAGAGGAAAAACATAGGATTATAAATATGGAAGGTACCTTAAAGATAATCTAGCCATCATTTTACAGATGAGAAAACTAAAACCAAGAGCAGTTGAACCTAGGCCTGGTCATACTTTTTTCCACTGTTCACTGATGCTACTTCTTTGCCAGACAAGTATGTTTCAAGAGTCAGGGAATAAAAGATATTGCAATGCCCTTGGCAGCAAAGTTAATTCATAGCAACTCAGTGGCTTTGGTGAAAGCAAAACCCTGTCTAAGGCCCATAGTCATAGTAATTCCAAAATGCCTGTGGAATATGCATCTCTATGACTGCTTTACTAAGAACCCAAGCTTCACCTGTATTACCTCTCAGCCCTCAAGTTCGGCCCTTTGACCTAATCCAAACTTCATAGAACAATTTTGGATTCAGTCAAAGGGCCACGCTGACGACCTAGAGGATCACATATGGTCTTGAGGCTGCAGGTTCCCCACCCCTGAGTCCTGAGCAATCACTTCAATTCACTCATTACCTTTAGTGATTGAGTTACCATATTGTCTTAAATATGTCCTGAGAGTTACCAGATTGCTTTAAAAACATTATGTAAGAATTAAAGGGGGGAGCCCCTAAATAAATGTTCCAGTCATTTCAGTCCTTTAATTTAATTTAATTTAAAAATTGCCCAAACTCAGCCCTTGGTTTTATTCTTTGGAATACTGTTCAAAAAGTATTCTTCATGGCATGCTTTCTGTGGGTCTTCAGATCTCCCCTGAAGCACCAGGTGGGAGGTGAGCTCTGTCATTTCAGTACATTGTGTAATGCCATGGCATATAAAAACTAACTCTTCCACAATGCCAAGCAAATCATCTGAGGCAATACAAGAAATGCAGGTCAGAGGGAACATAGAACCACAAATGTGATGGACCAGAGCCCAGTAGCATTATGGAACAATGACAGTTTGTTTGTACTGTATTCTAAAACAGTACTTATGAGAGAAAGATAACAAAGGAGGAGAAAGAAGTCCAAGTTCAATTTGCCCCCTGGTGCAGCAATAAAGGGAAATCCTTCCATGTTCAGTGTTGACATCGGACTTGCTACCTACCAGTAGTTTGACAACTTTCATTTTTTCTTCTGATGTCACATTTGGAGAAGCCTCAAGGAAAGAAGCAAGATTGTATTTAGTAGTTCTCTCAGTAGACTGTGTGGATTTTATCTATTTGGGGAATTTTATCTTCGTTTACAGCTAGGAAAAGAAACACAGGCTAAGAAACTTTCTCACAGTCATAGAACAAGCTAAGATCAAAGCCAGGAATGGGATACAATTCTCTGAAATCCCAATCTGGAGGCCTAGCTACAAAAAGAGGAATGACGGTAGTTCTGGGGACATAAGACAAAAAAGCAAGTTTCAAAGGAGGGCATATGTGCCCTTGAGATCCATCCAGCCTGCCTGCCTCTATGTTCTCCTCTCTAGCATGTTCACTTGCCCCAAGGACCAGGTGTTTGACCTCCTTATCTGGGCCTCAGTCATTTCCCTCTGAACCCCTCTGAATTTCCCTCTGAATCTCATCCTCCTTACCTAACTTCCCAAACTTAGAGGGACAAGTTCTCTGTGAATGGGTTACTTTGGGAGATAGTGATCTCCTTGTCACTGGAAGTTATTTTTTTTTTTACATTATCTTTGTCTTCTTAAAAAAAAAAGGAGCAGGTGAGATACCTTTCCTCTCCTTGCCCTCCACCCCAGGCATTTGAGGAGTTGGGGACCTTTTGCCCAGTTCCCATCCCTTCCTAGACTGGGAACAACCACCTCAGGAAACACAGAGTCAAAAAGCCATACCCATAAAGAGTGTCTCTGAGGAAGTGATCTAGTATTCAGTGATTCTAGTATTCTACCTACATTGGGGTGTAAGTACTGAACGTTTTCTATGGGGTTGTGATAGGCTCTATGTGTTGGGTGAGGAGATGATTGCTCCAGAGCCCCCAAGTTGCTGCGGCTGGATCCCTCCA